TTCAACTTTTTGTTGCACCACCTCTGTTTTCGATGCCAAATTAAAATTAACGTCGTTAAGATCATCATAGTCTATCTTCAATTCCGGAAACATGTTCTGTCAATACATTTACAATCCCCAACATATCATCTCTGATTTTGGAAACCCGGGTCTCCAGTTTATCAGACAACTCCTTATGCGCCACGGATATCTCTTCTTTGAGCCCTTCTTTGAGTTCTTTAAATTTGGCTTCCACCTTAATTGTCTGAGTGTTAAAAGACTCAGTCATTTTATCAGTCAGTTCTTTCAGTTCTTTCGGGAAGAATTTTTTTGTTAGTGGGTCACCTATAGGGGGTGTAGGAAGCAGAGGCTGCAGCTTTGTGCCAAGTGTGGGTGATGTGCCAGCACTTCTAGGAACCGAGGAGGGCATCTTTAAACTAAGATTTGGCTTAGAGGCCATTCCAAATTTTATCTTCAACCAATTAGTAAAACTCTGCTGGCCAGTTATACAGCTGTGGATCGAGATGATAAATCACTCCTTTCCTTTGAAGTTTTAAAACTCCGTAGGACTTTATGAAGAGTTTCAAAAGATAAACATTGTTACAAAGCAGTTCAGCGAGCTCATCGCCATTTTAAGTGTCTCTTTAATAGCTAGGTTATCGGAAGAAGGAGGTCTTGTAAAAATGGAGCTAAGATTTAAACAAACAATTAAGGGCTCCTGCATACCAGTCCTGCTCGCCTTGAAATCAATAAATCAAACTTTGTTCTGAGGAAGAGACAGCTTGTTTCGTGCTGCAAATGCAGCTGGAATTCCCTGGCACGGAGACAGTTCTGCCCTTAGCTGGCCTCCCTCCCCTCGCAGATACACAAACTGTGAGGATCGGATGGCACTTTGCACAGCAGAACCCACTCACCTCATCTTCTTGCCTGAAGAATAAGGTAAACAAACTGCCAGACGTCCGATAGATGATTGTCTGACAGATAATGCAACCAGGAATTCGGGAGCAGGTATATTAAGCTGCTTCCATCAGCAGGCCCCTGCCCGGAAGTCCTATGATATAACATTTTGAAATATACTATATTTGCATTACTGGATAATTACAAGAAACATTATGCTGTATTGCTGGTTGTATGAAAAATATTATGATCCCTTTCAGAGCTTTTATTTTAAAAAAATACACAGAAGTATTATTGAAATTCAGTAGATGACAAGAGAGAGAGAGAGAGAGAGGGAGGGAGGGAGAGGGAGAGGGAGAGAGAGAGAGAGAGGGTGGGGAGAGGGAGAGAGAGAGGGAGAGCTCTGTTCCATGGAAGAGTTGGTAAAGGATGCTTAGGACATCAAACAATCTGCATGGAAGCTTATAGAATGCCAAGACCGAATTGTACTCTATGATGAAGAAACTATAGATAATGACTTCTACAAACAAGCTACAAACCTCTCTATGTTGACAGTATAGCCTGGTGGAGCCCCACAGGTTTTAATTTGTGCATACCAGTAATGTAAAAATGTACTATATTAGTACAAGAATATGGACATTCAACCTTCAACTTCAGCGGATTGTGATGTCCCCAGTTCTTTGTTACCACTGTTATAAGATGTAGGCTCAGAAAAGGAACTTCAGTGTCATAAAGTATACTCTGCAACTTCAAATGGTTATTGCAGGCTAATTCGATTCTCACGAGGTTGATTTAGATTAGGTTAGATTCTCTCTAACGTTGATTCAGCCTTCCATCCTTCTGAGGTCAGTAAAATGAAGTCCCAGATTGTTGGGGGCAAAATGCTGACTCTGTAAACTGCTTAGAGAGGGTTGTAAAGCACTATGAAGTGGTATATAAGTCTAAGTGCTATTGTTATTACAAAAAAAAAAAACCAGCAAGAAGCTCTCTCTGATGCATTGTTTTGCTTCTTTCATCCAAAGTTTCTGAAGGCAAATCAGAGACTTCACTAGTCTCTCTTTTTACTAATTACAAAATTGGTAACCCAATTATAAAGGATATTGTCAAATAGGGCATATGAAGTATATGCATGAGACAGTGGAGGACATCAAACAATCCACATGGAAGTTTGCAGAATGCCAAGACTGAAATGAACAAGGACCCAGTACATCACATTAAAATTCACATCTCTAGGTTTATTTAGTTAATAGATTGGTATAGAAAAAAAGTATTCCTTCCATTCCTGATTTTTTTACAACCCTTTAATCCCTTTATTCTAAGACAGGGTGACTGAACAGAGCTGAACATTACTGGCTGGATGCCCTTCCTGATGCCTACACAGAGTTCACAGCAGATATTTTCTCTCTGTGCCCTGATAGAGAAACATTTGCCTCTGCCTAGGATTGAACTCTCCACCTTCTGAGTGGGAGGTGAGCATCTTCACCACTAGACAACTGAGACGCTCTTATTCCACTCCTGATAATCCAACAATAATTCAGCACTGCACCATATTTTCCATAACTGCAACAGGTGCTGTGAAAGCGACTGTTGTTTTTCAAAGGAACATAACCGGGGGGGTTTCCATTGTTCTCTGACACCCAGAAGAAATATTATACCATGCCCAAAATTATCAATTGCCTAAATATTTTTTAAAGTAATATTGTCACCTGTATATTCAGGCATAACAATTTAAGGGTTTCATTTTCTTCTATGTGCACTGATGAAATTACCTAGTTTGGATAATGAAAGGTCTGCAAGAAAACAACCAATCTCAGAGCGTACCAAGGACCTCTCAGAGAAAGTTTTCCCCGTGGTATTATTTCCACCAATTGAAGAATAGGGGCAAATATTATGGAAGGCTACTTAACACAGTTTTTGGGTGAAAGGCTGGGAGCTGTGTAAAAAAGTGGGCAGAGCTGGGACAACCACTTGATTTAAGGTCACTTTGATTAAAAGTACATAATCTCACATGATGTGAATTGGCTTGATAGGTGTTTTAACATCTTGCAGTTTGAGGAAACATTATGGAATTATTGCGGGAACCATATTCTGGATTCTCAAAGATTGCATGAGATCTTGGATTTTGCTCCTCCACTTGAGATTTAGGAAGGGAGGTGAGAAATTGTCAAAATTTGGAAATTCAGAGAATTGGAGGCTAGCATGTTGGGAATCCATGTTTCCACTTTTCAACACAATGAAGAATCCGTTTCTTTATGTAAACCGCATGCTAGTTTCAGGTAATAGATTTTGATTAGATTTTGATTAGGTCTAGTTTTATAGATGGGGGGAGGAGAACATAAGTGAACCCTCTTTTTTATCCTGTCTGATACAGAAGAGATCATGAGAATTGTAGGTTTCCCAAGTGCAAAACCTATGGCTGAGAAATTTCACATATCCTTGCTGCATTGAGCAGCATCTTGGTTCTTCATTCAGTAGAAGCAGCTGAAATGTCATAGCTGTCTTGCCCTGTAGTTTTGCAAACTGTCATAAATGATTTGTCAGCTCCAACAATATTAGCATCTTCAAAAAGCTACATGTGATGCTAACAGCCTATCTCTTTAATTTGTAAATCCACGATGAAGCTGGGTAACAAGCTTTCAACCAAAAAGAAACTGCCACTTTTGGTGGGGGAAGCCCACTGATTTACAAAGGGCATCCTTCAATTATTTAAGGAGCAGTCAGCAGTGCCATAACTTTAAGTATGAATCAAGTGGCATGACTGAAAAATTTGTCACAGTGTGTTAGATCAATGGTAATTACCTCACTGACACGAGTACTATTATTATTTTACAGGGCTGCAAACAGGATCATGGACGCAAGGAAACACAAACTGCAGTCTGATCAATACTCTCTGAAATATGACTCTCCACGGTCCAAAATGGAGTTTTCAAGCTAGGCATACCATTATAGGCTGATCTTTTCTTCTCTCCTTCTGCCTGTAAAGTATACCCTGAAGTAAAACACAGCAGCAATTGGTCAACTTGTTTCTAGCTTTAAATAGGACCAGAGTCACTTATTCTTTCTAAGGACTTCTGAACCCATTAGAAGTCTGTAACAGTCAACCCCTGCTCCCCAAAGAAACAGGGGATGAACTTTCTGTTCTAGGTTTTGATTCCCCCCCCCCCTATTAGGTAGTTTGTTGGGCAATATTGTGCCATTTTGACTTGTTCTGTTGTCCTAGGAAACTCCTATCACCATTTATACCTCCACTCTTCAGGATCTAATGAACCAAAAGATGCCATTACCTATCTAAAGTCATGTTGGTGTTTATAGTGCTCTTTAACACTCTCATGTCATGTTTCATCTAAAATTTCAGACTCACTGTGTTATTGTGACTCAACTTGGACACTACCTTGATTCTCCTTATTTGCAATCTAGTACCCCCTAGGAAAACCAATTCATAGCTTGGGGTTACCAAACAGACAGACCGACACACACACACACACATAGCAATAGCACTTAGACTTATATACCGCTTCACAGTGCTTTACAGCCCTCTCTAAGCGGTTTACAGAGTCAGCCTATTGCTCCCAACAATCTGGGTCTTCATTTTACCCACCTCAGAAGGATGGAAGGCTGAGTCAATCTTGAGTTTGGTGAGATTTGAACTGCCAAATTGGAGGCAGCAGGCAGG